GTTAAGTTCTCAGTCTGTTATCTTAATTATTCCTTCTCGTTGTTGTTGCATTTAACGCGATATTTTTCTGTGAGTTTCATTAATTTTCTAAGATTCTGTTGGTAGTCTTTTGCAATTGTTTCAATGTATTCAGGTTTCTCGTTTCTTCATATTGAGTTGATAATAAATGCCTGGATTACAGTTTCATTTGCTGCTTTCCTTTGATCAATTATTATTTTGCTTTTGTAATAAATTACTTCTTCTTCTTTTGATAATTCTATATATTTGTATTTTGTTTCTTGTTCCTTGATTTGGTTTTGTTTCTTTTCTAATTCTTCTAATTCTTCAAGTATTTTGTCTATTGTTTGGTATAGATGATAAGGTTGGTTTTCTGTATTCTTATATTGGGTTTCTTTGTTAGACATTAGTTATGGGTGTGATTGTATTATTAATTATTTCTCCCTGTCATTGAATTGTTGTTGTATATTTGTCTGCAATATTGAGTTTCTTTTGGATATGAGCTCAGTATTTTATGTAAGCTATTACTTCTGCGATAGTTATAATTGCTATAACTGTTGCAATATCTTGAGTTATGATATTTGGGTCATTAAAGTAACTTGGTGTTTGGGTTACGTTTGCTGTTACAGTTTCAATTACTGTTGTAGATATTGTTGTAATTACTGGTGTTGCTGTAATAAATTCTGTAATGATCTCGGTTACTGTTGGTATAACTATTTGTGTCGATACGTTGCTTATATATATTGATACTAAAACTAAAATAACTAATTCTAAGTTGTTGATTTTCATTAAAGTTTCTACTTGTTTTATTTTCCAATAGTATAATATTCGTCGTAGGTAATCAGTCTAAGATTTTACAGTGTTAGTCTCTTTATTCACTAACAGTTCTTCATTATTAGTTTTATTCTCAAGTTATAAGTGTATTTGATATGAGTGAGATATGTTATATATATTTATAAGTTTCTTTAAATATAATATGTTTATTTAATAAGATAACAAAATATGATAATTATATGTTTGTTATTTAATAATTTCGTTATGTTATAACAAGAGTAGTTTAAGCTATGTTATGATAAATAATATGTTGACTTGCTATTGATGCAAGTAACAGTAAAGGTATTGTTAATGCGGTTAATAATAGTGCAAGAATAAATATTAATAATGAATCACTATAATTTTCGATAAGGTAAGTCATATACAGGATTATAATTCAATAGTTTCTTTAAGTAATTAATTTGAACGATAATTACTAGTTAATAGTAATTATAAGGGTAAATGCTGTCAAAGTTAAATTATATGTTGGTTGCTTATACTACATATGCTAAATGTAGAATGCTACGAAGTTTTTCTTGAAGGTCAAAATCGAGTGTTTAAATACTTTTTAAACAATACATTCAAGAATAATACTAATTTAAAGTTTCAAAACTAAACTATTTTGTTTCTATTCTATCGTATAAGCTAATTATTTTTAATTATTAAAAGATACTAAAAGTAAAAGATTAGTTGCCATTGTGGGTTAACACATGGTCTTATTGATAATGCAAACAATAAGTATTTGTTTCTTTAGTTTCATATCGGTCTTGATTTCTTATTTCATCAGTCACGCTTGATCTACTTTAAATTCGTGTCTTGTGTTCCGATTGTTATCTTGCTGATCATATTGTAGTGTCGGCATGTGATTAGCCAGTAATCATAGATTGTTAGTTTCGTTTCAGATGGTTTCTTGGTTAAATATAACCTTTTCTGTAAATTGATCTTCTGGGGATTTCCTTGTGTTTCTCTGTACACCGGAAGCACTGTTAGAGCCACCGGAGATAACTTTATTGAAGTACACAATTGATGGTCAGTATATAATGTTGACATGGCCGAGATTGGTCAGAACGGCAATGACATCCTGAAAATTGCCATAGGGTCCGCTAGCCGGTGGTTTCCAGGTGAGTTAGTCAAGGCAGAAAAATGTCACGATAATGTGATTTCTAACCCTTTCTGATCAAGTCATGAGATAATCGAAGTAATCAAGATAATCTAGGATTCAAATTTTTGTCTTACAGAATTTTGTGCAGAATTATTGTTATATGCGTTTAAAGGATTATAAGTATATATATAAGAACCTACTATTATAGAATAGCCCAGCTTCTAGAATAAAGAAGTTCAGAGTTCATAGAAGCTTCTTTATACAAAGACTTTATTATACAAACTTAGAAGGTGGACGAATTACAAGAATCAATATAATAACAGAAAGATCTTTACAAAGGTTTAACTATTTCAATACTAAGTATAAATTATTTTTATTTACATAATACTACTTTTGTATTTTCAATATAATATTTTACAAACTTTTACTTATCTAATATTGACAAATCTATTGCAGCCAAAATACTAGTTTTCCTTTTTTTGAAGGTCTCGAAGTTTGTTGCTGTGTTTTAGCTTTAAGAACTTCATTACATAATGTAGTTTCGTTGATGAGAGATTGTTTAAGAGTTGTATAAGCTTCATAAAGCTTATCATTTTCAATGTTATCGCTTATAATTTTTACTAATGTTTCAAAAATTTTCATATTAGAGGCTATCTCTATTCTTCTATTCTCAACAATTCTATGGCATTCATTGATAATTTTACTTATGCTACAACTATCTAATGTTACTAGTTTGGGGTGAAATTCTGTGGCATTGCTTTGTTAAATGTTATTCCAAGGATTATTGTTTAAGTTAATCCTTGGAAGACGTATTTCAAAAGAAATAAGGGGATAATCATAACAATACATAGTGGAAAGAAATTGTGGAAAAAAGGATTGATGTTCAGTTGAATATTTTTTTACTAAATGCTTGCATATAAAATAAGGGCTATGCAAGAAGGCTGAACAGGAGCAAATCCAAGTATTGACATTGGTATGGTACCGTTCTTCTGTACTTATGTCTTTTTCTAGAGCTAACTTCCAATCATGTTTAAATGTATTCCAATATCTTGGAAACTCATGGTTATAATAAAATCTTCTCCACGTATTTTTCATATCAGGTATGAGTTCTTTGGTAAGAATTTCTGTTAAACGGTCTAGACGTGGATGATTAGAGTAATATTTATAATTGTATTTAAGGACATGCCAATGAGATTCATTGTTGTTCTAGCAATTGGCATTGCTTTTGGATAAACCGCCTTTGCAAATAAGCACCAGTCTGTTTTGTTATACCAACTAGTCTATAAATATCTTTATAAGCTACAAAGATTTTTTTGATAGCAAAACTGGTAAGCTTCTAAAACACTTTGATATTGGATTTCTTCTATTGCAAAAAAAGTATCTTTATTTACAGGTATAAAAGGATGTAATAATGAATGTTTTTTTATTATTTCTAGTAACTTTTTTTTAAATTCTTCAGAACACACAGCACTTTGATGTTCTACTGGAAACCAGGTTGAGTTAATAAAGGAAAACAGACTATGTGCCTCATATGCCTTTTGTGCTGTATATAAACTTTTTTGAGCTTTTTTTTCTTTTAACTTGCGCTCAACTGCCCGTTTTATATGCCAAAGACAAAGGTGTTTAATTGTATGAGGCCAAGCTTCTTGTACAGCAGCAATTTCTTCAGAATCTTTGTCCAAAGAATAAAGAATGGTAGAATGCCTTCTTTTTGTAAGCTAATAAAGAATTCTTTAAGAACATCAACGCGGCTATATATATTATTATCAGGATTTGAGAATAGCTTTCCTGATGCTAAAAATGTATCTACATACAAATATGCAAGGGGGAGGCCATATCTAAAAAATTAAAAGAAAAAAAAATAGAAGAAAAAATTATAAAAGAAGAAAAAAAATCAAAAACAAAAAAGAATTACATATATATTTAACATACCCTCCATAATTAATATTTACTACAAAGAGTTCAAAATGTTCCTGATTTGTTTTGAATGTTGAATCAATTATAATCTCATTAAAATTTTCTTGTAAATCTTGTAGACCTTAAAAGAATAGAGTAACAAATCCAAGAGAGCATACGAAGTCATTTTCCCAATATCGAACGACTTTATATCCTTCATCTACTAGCTCCTGCTGTTCTAAGAGGTTCTTGGCAGATTTTACTTGATTCTCTACATCTGTAATATATTGTGCTCTTGAAAATTTATAAATCCAATAATATACTTGGTGGTATGTATGTTGTGATGGGTCGATTAAATTTTCATTGTATAGTTGTTTATAAAACTCTATTTTTCTCCAATTTTATTAATGTTCTGTTTTATCTATACTATAGCACCTATAGGTAAATTAGATTCTTTATATGTGGAATATTCATGAGCTAAATGGTTAACAGTTATTGTTGCCAGTTGTTCACACAAATATATTTTAATTATAATTACTCCATTGCATGAGAAACGTTGAATAGCTGGTTGTGCTTCACTTATTCGTTTTACAGGTTGTTCGTCTGGACGTTTATATTAACGATCAGTTCTTTGTATATAGCCTATATGAGCTGTTGTGCAACCTGTATACTGGCCATTTTTTTGTTATGATATAGACTTCTAAGTTTCCAATAATATCTAGAGCCCGATTGAAGAGGTATAAGTAATGTTTTAATTACAGCATAAAATTTTTTATTTTCTACATATTGATTAAGTTCCAAGGTCAAATTTTCTTCATTAACTAATTCACCTTCAATTTTTATTGTTATAGTAAACTCAACATGATATTCTGGTTCTTTATACTTAAATTTAATAGCTACAAGCTCTTCAAAATCACATACATTATAAATAATTTTGTCTTCATTACTTTTAATACTATCTAAATTAGAAGATATTATTCTATTCAAAGAAGAGGGTAGTGTGTCTTTGTAACTTAAGGAGAGGAATGGTGTGTCTTTGTGACTTAAGGAGAGAAATGATATATCTTCATAGTTCAAAGGAAGGAATGGCGTATCTTTATGACTCAAAGGAAAAGATGATGTACCTTCTTGATTCAAAGTAAGAGATAGAGTATCTTCATAAAGAAATGGTATATCTTCATGACTCAGAGAAAGGGATGGTGTATCTTCATAACTCGAAGAAAGAGATAGTAAATTATCTTTGCTAGATAATTTTGTTTTGAGCCGTTTATCTCTCTTATTTTGTCTTTTGTGTTCTGCGCAGGGATTACATTTACTAAATTCATGCATTTTAGTTCCCCTTTGCCTTACAAATTCATTAATTGGTTTGACCTTGTCACAGCGAGAGCATTGTTTAGTGGAAATGTGGGTTGCAATATTTGAAGTAGACATTTTTATAAAAAACTTTAAATAATGAACTAATTAAATATCAAATCAAATTTTTTTTTAATAAAACATATTGTATTTTTCACATATATAAATGAATAGCAAATTTAATTTTAAAAGTGAAGCAGTTCTTATTTTAATAATAATAAATTACTTAGATAAATTTGCCTTTAAATTTGTTATATATTAGTTTATTAGAATTCAAAACACGCAAATTTAGTTAATTTTAATACTATATCAAATTTTAGATTTTATTTTCTTTTTATCTCTTAATTTTTTTTATTAATTAATATAAGGTACATATACAAGTTTCGCTTAATTGAATTTATCTATATTAAATTTATTAATATAAGGCTTATTTTTATATTAATTAACTTATATAACTTATCAATATATAAAATTTCTATATTGATTTAATATAACTTTAATGCTATTGCTCTTTGATCAGTATTAATTTCAGACTATTAAAAGGATCAGAAAGGGTAGAGAATCACATTACTGTGACATTTTTTAGCCTTGACTAACTCACCTTAGTTTTTCGCCCACTGAAGCAGGCCGGCTATGAGCGGAAATTGGATAAAGATAAATTGTGCGGGAGAGGAATGGTAAAGTCACATAGTCTTCCAACATTTAGGATTCTACCATTCCTGCATTTTTTTTTTTTTTTTATATATATATACACTCATCTATAAATGCATAGTTTTTCCTTTTTTTTTTTTACTATTTATTTACTTATTATTTAGGTTTTTTTTTTATTATACTTATATTATTATTATTAATTTTGTTTCACCTCTTCCTTTTTTTTTTTTTATATACATATAATGGCGAGACTGATCTTATTCCAATATTTGTCAGGAAGTCTGGACATTATATGCTTTTATCAGAATGTGCACCACCATGGTGGGGTGTGCCCAGACACACTAGTAAAACGTATCAGACTCCTACTATCCGATTTTTTGAATAATAATCGGCTGCACTCTCTATAGACTAATTCTGTAGTACTACCCACTCTAAAACTATGACCTGACATGTCAGCATTCGGTATGATTGATCACAGCTTTCTACAGAACCATTGCTTGGTGGCCCATGTTCTGTCTGCTTTTATGAATAATGTACTATTGCTGGGTGCATATGAAGGGCAGGTGCATCAGATTATGTATGCCTTGAATGATTTAATGAGATACAAGTGGTCATTAGTAGGGTTTATAATCAGTGTTGCTCTTACTGCTGTCCTGTAGTTTTTAGTTCTTGCAAGCTGGATTGTTGTATATATTGCCAAATTAGCCTTTTTGAATTTTATTGCTTTTAAAAGGGGTACCTTGTCTCTGTCTGGCTTATAGTCTGGCAGTAACTTGCCAAGGCATGCTAGCTCATAGAATGCTATCAGTGCCACTGACCAAAACAGCATGTCATCTGATTCACTTAGATTTAAACTATGCTTTATTTGGTCCAGGTGGGGCCTCGTGATATGTATTTTTTGTTTTACTAGTTTGTGTCTGTGGTTTCCTTTGATCGTTTTGATTAGCTCTTTTAACTATATAAAATCAGCTGTATAATATCAATATTTCCTCCTGTTAAGTTTATTACCAATATGAAAGTTTATTATATAGTCATGTCATAACAGTTACATATAAAATGCTTTAGCTTATCCTTTTCAACCTCAATTCAATACTTGTGGCATGGGTCGAACCGGACTGTTGTCCAATCAAATGCATTCCTGATGTGATAGAAATTTAATGCTGACAGATCAGACATAACTGTACAGAGTGCTTCTCCGTTGCTTATTGATTTGATAAATGTAATTAACAAAGCCTTCAATATAGACCATATGCTGCCATTTTTGTTTCTTCACTAATGTTCAATTGCTAGTGCATTATAACGCTTAATTACTGCTTCATATGTCCTATGTCTCGGTGGGTTGGTGTTCAGAATATCGGCTGCTTGTCAATCTAATGGGGTACCATTGCCAAAATTTGTTGCTACTTGCTGCCTTGTATTGCCTACTGATGTGAGTCTTCTTTGTCTCTTTTGTAAGTCTATTGCAGTAGTGAAGAAATAGTAGAGATTATGTTAGTATATTCAATTGAAATGTCAGACTGCAAAAAGCGAGCTGCAGGTTTTTTGCTCAAGTATTCCTTGTGTCCACTTCTTAATAGAAGGTCTGCATCTGAATTATATATCCCTGGTATATGTTTCATTTTTACAGAAAAATTATTTTGTATCTGTACTTCGTATATCTATGCAATGATTTTATTGAATTCTGTATTTTTACAAAAGTCTGCATAATACACTTCCACATTTGCCATATTGTCTATTTATATAATTAGCTTTCTTCTGATCCACAAGGGCACAAGCATATGAATTGCTATAAGAGATGTCAATAATTCACGTTTCTGGATGTTGTGGCTAAAAATGGTTTTATAATTGGCCTATCTAAATGTCATGAAATAGACTTCTAATGTGGCACCACCCCAATGTTGGATGCATCCGTGTATAGGTTGTGTATTTCAGGTTGCAACCATACTCGATCTTCCATTAAGTGGGTACCTGGCCACCTTTTTATCATGTTATCCCATTATTTTATATCTGCGATCATTGGTTTCATTATGCGCATATAGTAATATGGGTTCTTAACTGCCTCTTGTGTTTTTATAAATCACTAGACAAATAGTCTACCCTGCAGAAGCACTTGGCATAATCATATTAAGGACCCAACTAGAAACTGTAGCTCCTTTTTAATACACCAATTTTTTCAGCCCAGTCTGTTAGCAAGTTGTGTATTTTTTGCTTTTTCTGTAGTAGTACTGACTAGTTTTTAAGACCCAGGCATTGCCTTAGATTCGAGTTTCTAATTTTTTGCTAATTCTTAGGACTCAACATTATTAGTTTTTAAGACTCAGGCATTGTCTTGGATTTGAGTTTCTAATTTTCTGCTAATTCTTAGGCCTCAATATTATTAGTTTTTATAACTGTGTTGTTGTCTAGGTTCAAGTTTCTAATTTTTTGCTAATTCTTAGGCCTCAATATTATTAATTTTTAGAACCCAGTTGTTGACTGAAGCTGAGTTTCTAATTTTTTACAAATTCTTAATTTTAATTTTTAGGATTTAGGCATTGTTCTGGGTTTGAGTTTTTAATTTTTTGCTAATTCTTAGACCTCAATAATATTAGCTTTTAGGATCTAGTTATTGCCTAAGTTCAAGTTTTAAATTTTTGCTAATTCTTAGATTTAAATTATATTAGCTTTTAAAACTTGATCATTGTCTAGGTTTGAAATTCTAATTTTTTTCTAATTATTAGATCTTAACAATATTAATTTTTAAGATCTAACATTGTTTTGAGTTTAAGTTTTTAATTTTTTTTAATTCTTAAATCCAAATTATATTAGTTTTAGATTTAAATTATATAGAATTTAAGTTTTTAATTTTTTATTTTATATATAATTAATAATACTTTTAGACTATATATAATTAATTATTAAATAATAATACTTTTAGATTATATACAAATAATTATTAAATAATAATATTGTTAGACTATATACAATTAATTAAATAATAATACTTTTATACTATATACAATTAATTAAATAATAATATTTTAAAACTATAAAAACTATATATAAATTTTATCATTTAATTGAACTCTTGACAAAGCTATATATAATTGGCCATGTGTAAAGACAGGTTTGGGCAAATATAAACTCATATTAAGAATTGTTTGATCTTGAGCTTTGTTAATAGTCATAGCAAATAATAATTTGATAAGAAATTGCCTTTGTACTAATTGAAATAGGATATCAGTATCTGATGGTATTAATCTTACTTGAGATATAAAAACTCTTTTTTCTTTATAAACACCTGTTAAGATTTTAGCATTTATAATATATTTATAACAGGCTTTAACTATTAATCTTGTACTATTACATAATTCTTCAGATACATTAAGATTATGTAAAAGAACTAGCGTAAAAGGTGGTGCTTCGCGCCACCCCTCTAATAATTATTTCTATTTGTATTTTTTTTTTTTGTTTTATTATATTTTTAGAAAAGAACATAGTATTATTTTTACATGAATTCAAAGAACAACTTAAATGATTTTTAGTTCAGAAAAAAGTAACTTAACAAAAATTTTAATTAAATGCATTAAATATACGAAAAAAGAGAATGTTGGCTTTAAATGTTTGGGTAACAATTACGGATTAGGGCTAAAGTTACATATAGTAAATAGTAGTTATTTGTTGTATGATTACTTATTGTTTAAAGTATTTTTCTTAACACATCAATTGAATATTTAATATTTGATTGTCTTTAACTATGGTTATGTATATATTAATGCAACATTTGATAAATAAAGTGAATCAAGAATAAAATTTATTTAATGGCGTATATTTACTATAAGCCCAGTTTTAGATATCAAACTTGTATAGTTTATAAAATAAGTATATGCCATACAGTTCATAAAACAAATTATTTTTTAAAGAAGATTTTTTAATACAGTTTACTCAAGTAATATTATAACATAAAAAAGAGAATAATAGTATGTTTACTACAGCACATACAATGTATTACAATACAAATGCAAGTAGTAAACAAAGAGAAAAATAATATTAAAAACATAATAAATATGCAAATATAGTGATTGTAGTTGAAGTATTTACTTTTTATTGGATTCAAAATCTTCTACAGTTGCATAAAGTGATTTTTTAGAACCACACGTAGTTCTAATTAGATGTTCTTTTATTTGATTGTAAGCAGAATTTTTTTTTGACTTGTTTTTTTTGATTGGTTTTTCAGGTACTTCTTGATTTATTTTGGTAGAATTAGCTTCGTTTGCTTCGAATTTATAATTATTAGCATTAGTGAATTCTATGTTGATAGGTTGGTCAATTTCTTTGGATCTTTTATATTTTACTAATGTTTCATTTTTAATATTACTTGATGTTGTTAATAGTAGTGTTTGGGTTATGGGTGTATCTTTTAAATTTTTGGTAATATTTTGGTAGATATTTAAGAGTTTTGTTCTTGTCAAATTAGTCAAAGTTGATTGGAGTTGGTTGTTATCTGTTTTGGAAATTTTTTTTTTAAAAGTAATGTAGTTAATATCCTTTACATTAACATAGAATTTATTATCTATAATTTCCATTTGACCAACTATGAAGATGATTGATTCTTGTGGTAGAATAGTAGTTTTAAGATGCTTAAATCATAGGTTAGCATGCGGAAGAACTATGTAGGTTGTATATTCATATTCTTGAGTAATATAGTCAGTTATAAGTATTTCAAATACAGAATCATCAGTATTTTCAATAGCAGTTAGCTTTTTTTTCGGAGTTCTAACTAAAGATACTTTTAGAGAACATTTATTTGATTCAGAAGTTCAATCATTAATAGTTAAGTGAGTCGAGGTTGCAACCGACATCTAGATATTATAATCGATATTAATAAACTATAATTTATATATATAATATATTATCGATATATATTTTATCATTAACTTCAAAAACTCTCTCTGCTGATTCTTTGTACCAAAATTAGATTTAAGAAAAAACATTAAATTTTGCAAAAACAAGTTAACAAACTACCAAAACTCTTTTAGGAAAAAAGAAACCTTTGCATAAAACAAAGAAACTTTCTTAGAAGCAAACAGTATATTCTATTAGTAAATTTTGCAACAACTGAGAACTTTACAAAATTTTTACAATTTTGACACAAAAAGTGGGAATTTAGCAAACCCCTGACAAACAGATCACCAATTGTTATACCAAAACAACAAACAGTGACATGTGTTCTTTTTAGTATAAACAAACAAACAAAGCTGCAAGTAAACAAACAAATCAAGTAGACAAACAAACAACACAAACAAGCCATGTGGTAAACTATAGAGACATTAAGACAAAAATGACTAGAATAGCAGATTTAAAGAATTTTTACAACAATCCAGAAAAGTAAATTGAGAAAATTTACAAAGAACAAAAATTGTTAACCCTCAAGATAAACAAAGATATAGCAAGTTTTATAGGAGCATTATACCCAGAACAAATTGGTATTATATGAGGGCTACTAGACAGTTATAAATAGATCCAAGAAAAAAAATAATAAAAAAGAAATTTCAAAGATAGAAGCACAACTTATAGGTGAAGTCCAAATAGAAACTATTTCTTTTCAAGCTATAGGCCAATCTGTAGAAATGAATTTAGATATAGAATCTCTAGTCTTAGTGCTTGGAAAGAGAATATATAACGAAGATATACAAAGTAGCACAGGTTCAAAAAAGAAAGAAACAAATTATATTAAAAATGCAGAATTAAACTTCAATGAAAGTGATAAGAAATTGCTAATGCAATGTCATGACTTAAAAGAGAACTATAAATTTTCATTAATCTTCTCAGAAAGTGGAACACCGGATCACAGTACAGAGAATACAGCAAAACTAATATCTCTAGCTAAAAGTTTCAACAATATGAACATAGAGACAAAATAGCAAATAACTACTGATATAAAGCAAAATGTAAAAAATTAACTCAATTTTAGAAAAGAGGCTCAAGAAAGGAAAGATATACATAGCTCAATATAGGTGCCTAGAAATATATTGGCCCAAAATAAAAATCTATTAAATAAAACTGAATATCATAAAGAGATGAGAAATTTAGAGTTATACTCTACAATTTGAGATTTACCTTTTGGAGTAAACTTAGCAAGAATCAGAAAATGTTTAATCAATACGAAAGAGTAGAATTATTAGAATGGCGCATATTGAAAAAATCAGTAGCAGCATATATAAAGATTACTTGTAGAAGTGAAGAACAAAAGCTAAATCTGCAAAATGCATAGGCTATACATTTTGAAGAAGGAAAGACAAGCAAAGTTACAGCAAGTAGATTTAATATCAAGGAATTAGAAAAAAAAAAAGAATACAGATTAATGCTTAGGAATATTCTGAATTTAGCTTTTGAATTAGTTCTGCTTAGACAACTAAGAAGGTTCAAAGCCAAGATGGTGTTTGAGCTTACCAATAAAAATAATAATCCAAGTGGGAATGCTCTGGTCTACTTCGCATCATTAAAAGACCTCAAAACAGCAAAGGTATCAGTACCATATTACTTTCACAATAGATTAGAGTAGAGTGGAAACAAGTATTATATATTAGCTAAAGATAAAGCATCAAAGAAAACCAAGACATAATTGATGTAAGTGAAAGTTACGATAGTCTACGCCTTAAAAATCAAGAAGTATATTATGGACAAAGTCTTAAAAGGAGAAGATCACTTAGTAACAACAATAGTAGACAAAGAAAAAATACAAGTGACAACTTTAGATCTCATAGTAACACAAGAAAGCTACTCAGAATAATAGAAAACAATAGAGTATATATACTGAATCACTTACTGAATCAAGTAGCAACTGGTGCAAATAAAATAGAATTAGATAATATAAAAGAGAAAATACCTGAGAGAAAAGAAACAAGAAATAACACCTCTAATGTCTTGGAACTTCAAAGCAGTATCCTGGAGCAGATCCTAAACAGACTTCAAAAGATCGAAAAAAAACAGAGGACTTTAGGCCCCAATCTTTCCTAAAAGGTACCACAGGCACATCAATGAAACTAAACAAGCAAAATAGCTTAACAGGGCAAATACCACTTAAGATAACTACAAATACTCTAGACTGTGAATTAAAGTTAGCATGCCATAATATTAATGGACTTAAATCAAACAATTATAAGCTCTTATATTTAGAAATAGATATTATAGTAATCATAGAAACAAATATATCAGAAAGAAAAGGTCAATTTATTCTTACATTCGAGAGCACATTTAAAAGTTATTGGTCAAGCTTATGCTCTAACAAAAAGAAAGGATCAGGAGTAGGAGTTCTTATTGGAGAAAGAATTCACAAATATACAGGAAACATTAAAAACACAATGAATATTTATTAGAGTTTTATATAATATTAAAGCACTTAAAACTAGCAGTTTTAATTATATATCTTTCACCAAATAACAAAAATCAAATCAAACTAATTAATCAACAAGTTGAAGAAATATATCTTAATAGGGCAGCAAATTTCGAGATAATAGTTATGGGAGATTTCAATCACATAACAACACCAGAACTCGATAAACAGAGCCTGAGTAGCAAAGTTATACACAAAAAACTTCCACTACATGAATGGATGTTAAGTCAGAAATTTGTAGATACCTTTTGTCATTTAAATCCTGAGATACAAGCTTATATATAGACAAATAGTAACACAGCCACATGGATCAACCAAATTTGGATTTCCGAAAGTGTAGTGGAAAGTCTATATAAAGCAAAAATTCTAGATATGGACTATATAACAGGAAGCAACCACAACACAACTTTAGTTAACTTGGACAGTAAAAATAATATGCAGAACCAGGCTCATAATACTACTAAGGCCAAAAAATTTTATTTAAAATTTCTATATGGAAAAGCCACATCTAAAGACTGGAAAGACTACAAATCTTCACTGCAGCACTTTTTTAACAAATGTGTATCCTCATTAATTGCATTAAACAAAGACATTAGTATAATATCTCAACAAGACATAGATTATATTGGGGTTTTTATTGAAACAGGAATATTATATGCTGCTAAAAAAATATTCTCTTTAAAAAAAATAGAAAACTCAACACTAGCTAAAAAGAAAAATACAAAGTCACCTTTACATAAGGACACAATTAGTATTAGCAAAATCTGCCAAGAGTTTAAAAGATTATCAAGAGAAAACAAAGAGCAAAAAGCTATACTGGCAGTTTCTGAAAGAAGAAGATAAGAAATTAAATCGTTACTATACAAAATAAATCTTAGGCAAGAAGTAAACATCATATTAGATGAATTGGCATCAATAGAAGAGTAGGTTCAAGACATCAAGGGGTGGCTTTATATTTTTAACCAAAATTGGGCAGCAGTACTTGAAAAACAGAAGAACGAAAGAATCAAAGAGTATACTAATCGATGCTGCTTTATGATTCAAGATGAACAAGAAAAGATATTAAAGAGCATACTGGATAAGCTGTATTTAAAGGCCAGTCTAGATAGAATACTAGAGAAGATTGATAATGATTTCTAGTTATACACGAACCCTAAAGATGTCTTAACCAAAACTCATAACTTTTTTCAAGATCAATATAACAAAAGCAGCCCAAATATCAATCTCCTTATTTCAGAATATAAAAAAATATATGAGCCGCAATCAGAAATAAACAAGACTTGGTATACAAGTTTAGAGAATAATATCTCAGAGCCAGAATGGCATAACATGCTTAAGGAGCTTAAGAACAATACAGCACCTGGAATATCAGGAATTGGTTATGTATTGATCAAATAAGCAAATCAGTTAACACATGATTTTTTTAGAAAATTTGGTTCTTTATGTTTAAAATCTGGTAAAATCCTGACTAAATAGAAGTGAAGCCAGATTTACCCTATACCAAAGTCGACCGAATGGGATTGTACTCTAAACTCTCTAAGACCAATTGCACTTTTAAAAACTTTTCACAAGTGTGTAACAAAAATTCTGGCAACACATCTTTTAGAAATTATGCCAAAAAATACAATCCTTAAAGGACCAAATTTTGCAGACTTATCTAGAGATGTGATATCTAAGGCAATATACATACTTAACAGTATTGCAGAGGATGCAAAAAAACAAGACAAAGAACTATAGATTTTGTTTCAGAACATGCAAAAAGCATTTGACTTGGTTCTGCTCCAAATGCTTAAATTAGTAATGGAAATAATTCGAATCCCAAGCACTCCGATAGATTTCATTATTAACTTGTTTAAAGAAAGAAAGACTAAAATTTTAACAGCAGTGGGCCCTACAAAGAACATCATAGCCTCAGATAGTATTGAGCAAGAAGAAGTATTCTCTATTAATATGGTATATATTTTATGATCTATTGATACATAGAGTTCAAAGCAATACAAAACTGGGGTATACAGTTCTTTTAAAAGAGCCACTCAACCTAAGTCAAACCACTTTTAAAGAAACAAAATATCAACAAGCAGCTCTAGCTTATGCAGACGACACAACTTGGGTAGCCAATAATAAATCACAACTAGAGGAAACGCCCAGAATTGGAGAAGAGTTCTATGCAATAAATAATATAAAAGTAAATCTAAAAAAGTCAAGACTAATAGTTATCAATTCGTCTGAAAGTGCAAATAATAGAAATGTATTATTAGCAAAAGAAAAAGTCGAAGCTGAAAAAAGTAAGACGCTTACAAGATTTCTAGGAGTATGGTTAAGCAGCAAAGCCCAGTCCAACTTGATCATAAAAAAGGCCAAGCTTTTAGTACAATTAACCATCAAGACAATAAGAAACAAGAAGCTCACGCTAAGCCAATTGATTTATTTGAACAATATGTACTTGATCCCAAAGCTATGTTATATACTACAAGTATCTAATCTCTCTAAAAGTGCTTTAGATTCAATACATCAACCTATAATTAGAGTAATAAAGAACAAGATCGATTTACCTTGTACAACAAGCAACTTCTTATTGGCACATAGAAATTTAGAAAATTGCAAATTTCTTTGGCAAGAGCTCTTAACACAGCAAATCACAAGTCTTCAATATAGATTAAATAGCTCAGATCGAGATAGCCAATTAGCAAAAATTCGAATTAAGCAAGACTTGTTGATAGCAAATATTATTAGTAGAAGCTGGACTTTTGAAGCTGACCCAACATTGACTTCAATCTGGAAAAATAACAAGTTAAAGTATATTGTTAATGCTGTGAGCCTGGTTAAATTTATTCTGACCTGTTATAAAAATTCAAACTCATTTCACTTGTGTTACTCAGATGGTAAGAAAAATTCAATACTGGGTGACTCACGGGTAGATCACCTGGATCATTTGCATGGTAAAAAAACTCTGCAACTGGATTTATACAACCAATTATTAGTAAATTAGATTTTTATCTATATGATACTTAAAATAGTTTTTATATTTAACAATGCAAATAAATTGTAAATTTTGAGTTGCTTATTTATTAATGCGTTAATTAATGCGAATGATAAAATTAAATATTCATAAATAGGAATACTTAGACTAAAAATTTCTTTATTCCATGCACTAAATAAAATAAAATTAAGTAGAAAAATATTTATGAACTTTGAAAGCTTATTATAATACTTATATAATCATGCTTATTCATTAAATTAGATAGCTTAGTACTTACTATTCCCAATCTAAAGTAATTTATAAATAGTAAATAAAGCTGGAATAACTTTGAATATTTATGCTTTTTATACTCACGTATTAAATTAAAATAAAATATATGAGTACTGTCAATAAAAAACTTGTCATCAGATTTTTAATTATATTTTGTGTACAGTTAGCCATCTACAGAAAATCTATTGTCATGATATATTTTTTATAGATGATAACTGTACACAAAATATAATTGAAAGTCTGATGATAGGTTTTCTATTGACATCAATTATATAATAGTAAATGTTTATAGCCATGATCGTTAATTGAAATATAATCAGAATATTACTAAAATATCTAATTGCAATTAGAATATAATGACTAAAAATTTTTTATAGGGTTTGCTATACTGTAGAATGAGGAGGCTGTTTGTATGATCCTGTTTAGATTTTCTCTAGATTGGGCTATTCAAAGAGTATCATCTATATATGCAAGAACAGATATAGAGCACTGTAGTTGCTTGGTAGAAAGTGAGGTTAAACTAGTTTGCCAAACTGTATGCATGTGTAGTCTGGTAGGTGAGTAGATATCTTAAAAAAAAGAGGATCATAGTAGATTCTCCAGAATAATGGTGTAATAGTCTCACCCTGATCAATTTCATTCTGAACATTATAATAATTAGTGAGGCCTAGATTAGTAATGACTCTATTAGAGCAGTCAGTAAGGAGGTTGGTAAGGATATTAATAAGTGGACTTGGTATGCTGATTCTTTGTAGTGACTAGCGGAACAGATGGAACTTAACAAAGTCATATGTTTTGCTTATATCTTGTGATAAAATCCAGAGTTGATTAGAGTTACATGTAGCATCTTCTATAATATTATTAAGAATATAAATTGGAATAGAGGTAGAGTTACTAGGAAGTACAACATAGTTGAAGGGAAATAGGATAGAGTGCTTAGATAAGATATTGTTAAGACGATTAGTGAGTAGCTTAGTATAAAGTTTTCTAATATGTTCCACCAGACTAATAGGTCTGGTGTTTGTTAAGTTTTCATTAAATATTAGTTTTTTGGCAATAGGATAGATTCTTCCTTCTTTCCATTGTTTAGAGATTGTTTGAGATATTAGATATCTGTTAAAGAGGGTTGTTATTGCAAAAATTTGGGGCCTGCATGTTTTAGCATTTCATAGCTTATACCAGAGGGGCCACATGCTTTGTTGTTGGGTAGTTGACTTAGTGTTGAGAGGATTTCCTTTTGAGACAAGTTTGCAAGTGCATCTTGGTACTATTCCTGGAGAATATACGGTTTGAAATCATATTCTGATTGCCAATCTGAGGTAAATATATTTGGTCAATTGGATAAAAAGTAGTCCAATTATTAAAGTGTTGTTGTCACTAGTTGAAAACTAGAAATTTGACCAAGGCAAATTTCGACTCGAGAGTTTAAAATTCGACTATTAAGTATTCGACATGGTCGAATTATTGGTATATTCGACCTAATTTTGACAGAAATTCAATGGTTGAATTTTTTAAAATTTGACCTGAGCGAAGTTTGAAAGAATTCGATCTAAATTAGTCAGAAATTCGGTGTCTGAATTTTTCAAAATTTGTCCAGGCCGAATTTTGAAAAAAAAATTTGATCTAAAATTAGCTAGAAATTTGGTTGTTTGAATTTTTTAAAATTCGACCAGGAGAATTTTTAAAAAATTCGAACTTAAAATAGCCAGAAATTCAATGGTCGAATTTTTTAAAATTCAACCTGGGTGAAGTTTGAAAAAATTTGATCTAAAATTAGCTAGAAATTCGGTGTTCGAATTTTTTAAAATTCGACTAGGCGAATTTTTAAAAAATTCGAACTTAAAATAGCCAGAAATTCAATGGTCGAATTTTTTTAAAATTTAGTGAAAATTTTGACTATTGAATTTCTGGCTATTTTAAGTTTGAATTTTTTAAAAATTCGCCTGGTCAATTTTAAAAAATTTGAACACCGAATTTCTAGCTAATTTTAGATCGAATTTTTTCAAACTTTGCCCAGGTCAAATTTTAAAAAGTTCGACCATTGAATTTCTGGCTATTTTAAGTTCAAATTCTTTCAAACTTCGCCCAGGTCGAATTTTAAAAAAATTCAAACACTGAATTTCTAGCTAATTTTAGATTGAATTTTTTTTCAAAATTCCGATAAAAATATGTATGCCCAAGAAAATTTGATCACATGATTACTGAAGTCTTTGCTGTTCGGAAGAACAGTTAGACCAGACCAATTTAATTCGGTCAGACTTAACTAAGAGTGAACTTTGAATGAATCTAAAATAAACTATAAATTTTTGATGATCGAATTTTAATAAAATTCAATCTGACTGAATTGTACCTAAACAAATTTTAATCTGACCAAGTTCAGTAGACGAATTTTAACAAAATTTGATCTGGCTAAATTGTTACTAAATTCAACATATATAAATTCAATTAGATCGAAAAAACCAATTACATATCTAGCAAAATAATACAATACAAAAATTTGATATAAAATTGAAGTACTAAATTACATATGAATTTTTCTATTAATTGGTATAATAGCAATATATTCTTTTGAACTTTTTTGTGTACTAATTTATAAGGTCCAGGTACAAATCAGTTCAAAATTTGGTGAATTGGTATTAAACAATCACAACTAATCAGAAAAAAGTCTTTAGTCCAAAGTTCAACATTGTATAATCGACCTTCTTCCTCATTCATTTCAAAATAGAGTCTTGTTGAACTATTAGATGCTAGTTTATACCAATGCACAAATGCTAGATTATGTTTGAGTTGGCTATTATTTATATCAATTGTATGCTGAATAAAATATTGTATTTGGCCAACATATATATCATAAGAAACTCTATCTTGATTAATAAATTCGGCCATAATAAATGAGCTTCTTATATGCCGAATTGACATAGTTGATCCAAATATTTCTGAACCAATTCGCAAATGGCCAAATTGGTCTCCAAATAGATAAATTAATATTGAATTTTCATCTCTAATACCACTAAGTGGTATCTGAAATGAATGTTCAGAATAGGCAGCTGAATAATACTCTAATAATAAATTTGACATTTCATTAGATATAACTATATAAATTTTTGAGGGACTTAAAAATTCTCTGGGAAAATCTTCAACACCACTAGCTAAAATTGTTTCAATGCTCCTTAACATTTGAAGAAATCTTTGTAATTCATCAGTTTCAAACTGGTCTGATAATGCTAAACTTCTAATTGTTTTTTTTACTTAAAGTAATTCAAGCCCTTTTATAGTACCAGTTTGGTTAATTAGATCATTAACCATACAGTCTTGCATAAGCCGACGCATTAATTCTGGTTCAATTTGTCTATGACTATTTGGAAGTGAATTAAGATAGCCATTCATCCGCTCAAATGAGAAACACCAGAATGAATAAAGTGGTCCATAGTCAAAGCAGTATTGAGTAATGTGGAGTGCTAGATGAAGATTTGGTGTAATATATTTTTTACTATATCCTTCTTCAATTTGCTTAATAAGAAGAATAAACCGATTATATGCCTCTTTTAATACAGTTATATCAATAATTTAGCAAACCAGAATTGTACAAATTCGTACAAAATTTGTAAGAATTCTTTGATCTGATGCCAGAAGAAAATCCCATAGGCAAGGTGTTGCATAAATTAAAATAAATGTTCTCCATTTATCGGCAGTGAAATTAGCAAACCCCTCACCACAGTCAACCTTTCTTGGAATTCAGCCAATGTCAGATGGAACCTGAATTTCCGACATTTTAATTTGAATTTGCCTTAATTGGTTGATATTTAATATTCCATTATCAACCCATAATCACTTTATAATCCATTTTGCAATACCTAAAAATAGACAATGCATTGGATCAATAGCCAAAAACCGAATAGAATTAAAATATAGTAATCAGATTAACTCAGACTACCGAATATGAGTAAGTTTTTCATGTTGTTTTCTGCCCGATTTAGTATAACATCTTCTCCATTGCTTAGCATCTTGTTGATACTGAGCTAAGTCACGTTCAATAAACCAAGTGTCAATATCATCTATGCCTCTATAATGATAATATCTATCCTCATGTTGTGCTTTTTTTTCACATTGATAACAGGCTGCTAATGCTGAGGTATAACCACAAAGCTTTCGAGCTGCAGGTATATCACATGAACATAAAATTAATACCGCTCGAATTGTCTTTCTAGATGGGTTCTCATAAGTTGAAATTTGAAAACCATCCCAAAATCGGAGTAACTCATCAACAACTGGTGCAAGATAGTGGTTAATGTGGTGTAAATGAACTTATTTGGACCTGGTAAAATGCCAAGAACTAACATGTTTTCAGCTTTAAATCAAATATCTCTTGGTAAATTAGAAATAGCCATATAAATTACACCAGTGCAATACTGGGTTCTATCGAATGGCTGAAACCAGTCCAAATTTAATATAAATCCAAGATGTGTATCAGCAGATTCTTGTGTAAAAAATTGACTGCCAATTGATTCTTTATCAGCAAATTCTTTCCAAACTTGATCATCATAAATGTCAGAAAAAATGTCTTTAGAAACATTACGATGAGTCCATTTTCTACATAATTGTTTAAAATTAGAATATATATACATTTTTGCAAGTTGACTTTTGATATTTGCAAAAGGATAAAGTAAAATTGGCTTATTAATAGTGCCACTTGGATATCAATTTTGTGTTGCTAAGGCTGAATTACATGTAACTATTTGCCTAGATCCAATTATATTCGGAAATTCAACATGGTTATATTTTTTTACTGATAATTGTCAATTATTATCCTGTGAATCAACAATCTCTTTTTTAGTATATAGTTTGTCACATTTTGGACATACTGAATATGTTATAAAGTTACTGATTTTAAGATGTTTTTGAAGCATATACATTGAGGTTGGAAAATCTTTAAAAAGATTTTCATCACCAAACGCACATAATAGTTGACGAATATATTTAATTAAAATTTCGGTAGCTGTTTCAGGCACTTTAAAATCACTTTGAAATTTTAATAGCCAAATTAATATATCATCAAAACTAGATGGTATTCTAAGTCTAGATTGAGATTCATTTTTATAATCAATGTTCGGTGCTGAATAATCTTCAAATTCATTAATATTGCTATATCGAATACCTTCGGCTAATTCTTCTTCAGATGATAGATCATCATCATTATCATTATTATCGTAATCCAATACAATATTATTATCACTACTTTCATCTGCCGAAGTGATAACTTGTTTTTCTGTATTTAAAATATTTATTTTAGCACTTGATGTTTGTTGGCGTTTTTTTGATAAAAATGATAAGTTATCGGTATCAAGGCTAGGTAAAAGTTTATTATCATCTCTTTCTATATCTGACAATGAATCAATTGTTGTTACTAATTGTTGGCTTAGGCCACTTAATTGACTTAGACTACTTAATTCTTTAGATAGAGCTGGTTGTCTTATCTCATTTAAATCTGTTTGAGATGATTGTTGGCTAGTAGTTAAAGAGTGTTGCTCTTTTGTACGAGGATTAACAAACTTGTCTTTACACTTTGGGCAATTACATATAACTCTTTTACATGTTCTATGGGTCAAAGTAGGTAATGGTTTAGGAGTCGAAGTAGAAGATTTAGATTGATAAGATGAATCTTGGCTGATAGTTTTTAAAATATCTTTTGCACTTTGTTTTTGAGACATTTATGATAAATTATGAATAATACAGGGGGCTACCAAAGCATTGTGGACACATTTTGAAAATTTATATTAAGCTAAATAAATAAGATATAAAACTAAAAATTATACAAAATATTAATTAAATCTAAAATTTTTAAATAAAAAAAAGTTTGCAAAATTCTATGCAGTAGTTT